TGACACTTTTGTTCAGCTGTGTCTAACTGACCCTAACTCACGCTTAGAGTGACGTGTTAGTTTTATATTAGCTAACAACTAATATTTGCTTTTATCTTTTGGAGCAAACGAACCAACCACTGGTGAGGAGAATTAAACTTTTATTTCTACCTGAGGTTTGAGAGGGGGCAGAAGCGGCGGCCTTTTATGCTTTTCAGAGGCCTCTCTACTCCCACGCCTCGCACTAGTTACATGTGCTACATTTGTATTATAGATAGTTCTAGAATGATATAGGGGCTTGGGCTGTGTAAGCTTAATAATGGACTTAGGACATGACTCAGCAATAAGTAATTCATTTCTTTGTCTTTTGGGCCGATCTTAGCGGGATCTTGTAGCGCTGAAGCTATGCTCTACACCGCCTTAATTACGAACGGTTATCTTTAGAAATGACTCGGCTATAAAGGAACTTTCTAGACTGTTCTCTAATTGACCCCTTTTTGTGAAGCCACATCATTACTAATGTTCTAGAGCCTTCCCAATTAATTAACCGATCCGCGGACTTCTGAATCACTTCATGCTTATGATCCGAGATCCAGATCATCAATCATTCCTTTGTTCCGATTTATTTGAGCTTAAAATCAAAAAGTTTTGATGAATCATGGGAAAATATACAAGATCCGGTTTTTTAGCATTTTCTCCTCTTCTGATGCGATCAAAAACTGTCCGCCCACGCCGGGGAATACTCTGTCATATGGTATTCGGTCCGCCAGACTTCCGGGCGCCAATATATTTTCCTTGAGTCACATTACTTTTTGTAAGAATTAGCAAATAAATATATATGAATTATAAGGTGTTTCGCCGTTTGAGCAATATCTCCGTCAGTTTTGAAGCTTTTAGAATGAAACAAAACCGTGGATAAAGTTAAGAAACAGTTCTTTCAGATGGTAAAAAGATTACAGTCAAAAGTTTACTGGTTCCCGAGATATTTACATTTCTTTCCCAATGTTCCTTCTTATTCTGCTGTCTGTGCTATTTTCTTGTTGTAGGGATATATTCTTTGAATATTACACCTATGCCAGGTTCTAGGCATGCTTGTAGTAGATTAAATCTCATGCTACATGGGTGTAGATAATTTATAATGATCTTCTAATGTCTGTCCAGTCTCATAAAGATCATGAGATCTGTTAAACGTCTGAACTTGTCACCTGTTCGTTGACTATTCTGATAGATCATTGTTTTATTCTTTGAATATTATTTCTCCTACAGCAGGTCGTATGTCATGACATCGTAAGGGCATCAAGAGCGATAGGGAGTTCGAAATACTGTCAGAACCATGTGAATCTTCGCCGAGGGTAGCCGTAGGCGACCAAGCGTTGTCCGCTAGTGATACAGGTGTCCTATACACGACCGAGCTTCAGCGAGGAATAACCTCACCGATCTCGAGGCCAAGGCTACTTAGGCGAGTGAGCCGGGATTTCGGCTTCAACGACTCGAGGAGCATTGCGCCTTGTTCTCAACGTGGTCCTGATACTTCAGAAGGTCGGAGGTCTTATGGGAACAGAAGTAAGCTTAGGGGTGAATGTCTAGTTGATTTCAAACTACAGTACAAGCATTAGTTACAAGCTGTATATAAGCACTAGGGAACTGAATAGGGAATAAGTTGCCAGATCTTGCAGAGATTGCGGGCAGAGAAAAGAAGAAGAAAAACAAACAAGAAGCACATGTTTAAGACAGCGAAGGTCAAACGTGACCTTTGCCGTGAGATAACAAGGTGTGGTGAAACATGGGACAGAAGGTCGCAGCGCTCTGTGCTGCTAGGTCGTTCAATGACAATTAGGAGAGGGGTCATGGGGAGGTGGCAGGAAGTGGTTAGACAGCGACGGTGTAACAGGTCTATCCAACTAGACTCATGGCTCAGGTCTAGGGGGGGTAGGTCTCTCTCTATCTCTCAGGTAGATGTGGGTCCTGCGAGTACAGTGCTGATACTCTCTATCTAACCTCTAACTAACTGTCTGTACAGTTGTCATGGAAGAGTCCGATACAAATATAAAAGGAAAGTCACATGTGAATGAATGAAAATAGTAAGGAAAATAAAGAAAAGTCATATCTCCTCAACCACTCCACCAAATCCGACGATCTTGGACTCGTCAGAACCATCTCCACAGTCTCTACAACTCCTACTATTACCACGACTCACCAATCCTAGTCCCTGATGCAGTAGGGGGTGAAATGTGTGATAAGGGTTGGTTTGACCTGCACGGACTTGTCCCCACAACAACGGACGGCAAGCGGAGTGTGCGGGGAGTGTTTGGGTGTGGGAGAAGGTTGGGGAGGAGGTCATCTGACCCCGGGGAACGCCGGGTCGTGACAGTAGGGTTACGAGAAGCTTCGGAATCATGGTCATCAGCTTGGCTGTCCAGATCAACGTCTCTCTCAACAGCAGCTGCCTCGTCATGGTCTTGGAATATGGAACAACGAAATCGATGGGAGGGTGCTGGAGTGGAGGAGGAGGTAGGGTCATCATGGTCAGCCATAAAGCTTTGGAAAGGTGGACGTTCAGAGGGGTCTAGGTCATGTCTGTGCAACAGTTCTTCAAGCATACCAAGACCTGGAAGCCTAGAAGAACCAGGTTCAGTGCGCATCTGTGAACGGGTCTGATAAGCTCTAGACATATTTCAGTGAAACAATGGTAGAGCAAGGAAAGAACATAAGAGCGATTTGAGTTTGTATATACTGTCAGGAACGTGTCAGATGCATATCTGGGTGACCTGCAAGGTGCGCGAAGTCATCCAGGCTCGTAAGGTCAGAGGGGCGGGACTTCAGCTTCAGTGACTTGGGTGGAGTGCTGCGCTTTGTTCTTACATTGGTGTCCCAATTTCAGACAGAAGCCTTACAATGAGGAGAAGAGACTAGAGGGGGAATCCAAGTTGATATACGAACTGAGGTACATCTGGTGTAACCTACACATGTTATAAACACAAGTAACTAAATAGGACCGGCCCAGAAGGAGTGGTGGATCAAGTGCAATATTAATGAATGAAGAAAGAGACAAATAGTTAATATCAGCAAACTTGGTCAACAAAAGGAAAGCAAGAAACAAAAGGAGGAACAATAGTCTGCAAGCGAACAAAAGAGAAAAGGCCATCTGGCCATCTAGCAAGCCGTCTGGCTGGCAGGTGGACAACAATGAAGCGGGCAACCTAGGTTGGAAGGTACATGCATGGGGGAGGAAGTGCAGATGAGGGTGATGGGTGGATGGGTGGATGGATGGATGATAATGATAGTGGGCAGGACAGGCCAAGTGGCACTAGGATGCATTGATGGAAGTGATGGATATGTCGGGTCATGACAGGTCCCACCATTCATGGGTCTGCCTCGCTGTAACTATATATACTTAACTTGTAGATAGGTTACACCCCAGTGATAAAATCGACTAGAGGTGATCCCCCTTTTAGTTCTCGTTGTGTCATGGCCATGCATTCCGGCCCATTAGCTGCCCGTCCCGATGCTGCCCGAGCCCATTCCTGCTACACAAGTGTGAGCGCGAGCCCTGACCTCAGCCCTATCCTCCCTGAGGACTCCCTGCTCACTCCCCCACTTGCCCCTAGGCTCCCCTGCACCTGGCCAACTCCCCAACAGCCACACCAACCTTCCCACCCTGAGTCTGCCTCCAGCACCATGCCCAGCGCAACTCCTCTACCCCACCCACTTGGCCCCTACAGGGCCGCTACCATTCCTGCACCTGACTCCGGCCCAACTCCGAGTCCAGTGCCGCTACAATACCATCGCCGCTATCGCAGTGCATCCTATTCATTTCCTTCATTGTAATTGGCGGATTCAAAAAAAATATCATCATTTTCATATTTGTGTAAATTCATCAAACACGTGATTTTTTGCACTCATCTCAGAGGGGTTTTGTAGGTTCACTGCCAAGGTCTGGAGGTGATTTTCATGGAACACTATGGTATTTACTTGCAATTCCCTTGTGAGCTACTTGCCACATACCCTACTGCATCACCCCGATGCCTTGAGACCAATTTGCTCATTCTACAACCCAGACCAGCGAACTGGACCTGCGAATTTAATCATTGGCATCCGAGTCTCAGAAGACACAATTGCAGTCTTTGAAGACGCTGGAGTGATGGGGGTGTTTTGACTTGGACCATTGTTCTCAACCTCCCACTTGCACTACTTTTCAAGTTCTCCAGACGGCCCTTCAGATCACGAACTGATTCATGCCTCAGCGCACTATTACCATTGAAAGTCCATTTCTTATGTCTCTCAGAAGGCGTGGCCATCTGAGGTATCAACTTTAGGACAGCAATCCCGTTTAATTTGTATGTCACCCCAATAGCCAATCCCCAAACCTCACGTCTAGCGCTGATGCGCGACAGTATCCAGAAATGCAGAATGGCGCGTATTCTACTGTATTGGCATATAATTTTTTGAATTGAAAATAAATATTTACCCATTTTGTCAATCAATTTTTTACGAAAGGGTTCAATACCCTTTCACTTTTCGACTACCACTTTCTCACAAAACCGCTGTAGGTGGAGGTGATTTCTAACAAAAGGTGCCATCTGGCCAAGTGGGAGCGGGTCCGGATTGAGTGCTTTGGATGTTTCAACACCCGGGTCTACTCCGCTTCGGGGACCACGGGTGCGGAGGCTTCTCCGCTTATGTCTGAGGATGAGTCTGAGAATGTTTGACACGTCAACTCCGACGGGCCTGAACTATAGATACGCAAGTTACTCTGGAAGCGATCTACGACTGAAGCTATGATAAATGGCTTAGCTTTCGAGAGACTCGCCAAGCACAAGGCAATTAAGCATGAGTCCAACGCGCGTTCCATCACGGAACTTCCACAAAGGTACAAGTGCCAATGCATATATTTCCAACACAGTACATCAACAGGAGTCAGTCATAAGGTGTGATTAATGTAAGTAACAAAATGCTTGTTGAAACGCAAAGAAAATGTAGAGAACGAGAATCTTTAGGTTGCGCCCTCTGACCTCTGCTGCTCAGCCATGATTTTGTCTGATTGATGAAGAACGAGCTGGGATGTCAGGAATGCTCCGTGTCCCGTCAGGTTCCAAGTTTTGGAGCCGCTTGTCTATTAAGAATTCGCTGTCCCTAACAGTCTGTGCCCATTTCTCCAAATAGTTGACTGTGGTGGAGGTCATCGTGACTGTACACGCTCCAATGAAGATTGCCGGATAGATCGTGCGAACTGTTGAAAAAGATTAGTTGATGCAACCAATACATCGAGTAAGTAACACACTGGACAGGTTGTCTGGGACTTCGACATGCAAAACTTTCGTTAGGGAGAAAGGTATGATCCCAGGTGCGGCAATCATGAGAAGGAGACCAGAAATCACGGGCCACGCAAAGTGAACCATTGCATGATGGAAATCAAGGAAGGTAACACCATTGTCAACCATCTAGATGAATGTATTAGCAAGCCAGGAATAATGAATACGCGCATATACTCACCGCGTCCCAGGCGGCTACAATAGCTGGCGGATTCTGCAGTCGTGCCATCCGAAGGGCGATATTGAAGAGAACAAGACCAAGAGCCCAATCTTCCCAGATGTAAATTGTCGGAGCACGTTGTTCCATTGGGAACAGTCCGATACGAATAGGGAGGATGATGTAGAGTTCGACTACAAGAGCCAGAAGGAGGGGTATGATAAAGCCAAGCGCAATTGTCAGGACAGCAAGCTTCCCAATCCACACGACACCATGCCCAATCTCTGTATAGAGTGGATCAACACCTAGGGCCGTGGTGTCAGGACGCGCGTTTCCGAGCTGCCATGTAGCCCGCCACGTCTGTCGCAAGTCCTGAACCCCCTGATACTGACGAACAACAAAGCGTCCGAATGTGATGAGCGCCCAGAACGATGAAGCACCAATGATAAATGAGTATCCGTCATGCGTAGCATGACCAACGAGGCGATCCAAGAGCAATCGACCGAATAGGATGGGAGTGTCGACCGCGACAGTGGCGATGCCGACACTTGTGAGCCACAGATACATTATGAAAGCCATTATTCGATATTTGAAATTAGGGGGGAGATAGAGAACCGTATAATCGTCTGCTACAGTACGGTGGGCAGCAAGGGCAGCCGCATCTTGTACTTCAATGAGCCTTCTGCCTTCGTCGTCTAGCGGGTTGCCATTTTCGTCAGTGGTTACGAGCATCTGACGTTCATTTTCCGGGAACGCGATACTGTCACCAGCAGGAGCACGCACGAATGATCCATCGCGAACAGGGGCTGGTTGATTTGCTGCATGAACTGCGGCCCATGGTCTATTCCGGATAAGCGGAAGACGCCGCCATGAGAAAACTGATTGTTGCTCCTCTTCAGCAACCCGTTGACCAAACATGTATGAGGTGAGCCTCAGCTCATGTGCAGCGTGTTCCCACCAAATGGTCGTGGCCCGGACTAAAGTGTCACGAACATTGACAGATTCGATGATGGCTGGGGCCACAATGTGAAGAAATAGTAAATCGATTGGTATTTCACTAATAGGGTTCCTATTCGCAACGATAGTCGATGAGAAATATGTCAACCAGAGTTAAGTAGTTCTGAATCATGACTTACTTTGCATCCCAACGCAAGGGAAGAAGCATGTGAAATGGAGTCCAGAAATAACGCAGATAGTAGATCGCCGCGCCTACTCCACCAAGAATTACGAAAGAATACATCAAAGCGCTCACACCTAATTTCCTCAGCTGAGAAAGGGCGGGGCGATCGAGAATATCTCGAATGGGATGGAACGAGGGGTCAGCAGGATCTCTATGATCATGTGTCATTGCATTCTCGAACATGATTCCCAACGATATTATTTAACGTACTTTATAAACCACATGGCACCCTTGCGCATTAATCCTCGACATGCCGCGAGAAGCATTGCAAATTGATACATGACTGCGAGAGCTGACATTCAGCGTAAAACAAAGGACTCGTTAACAGACTCACACATGGTGCCAAGCATCCAATGGAAGAAGACAGCCGTCAAAGGGACACTGGCACAGTACTCAAGCCGGGTCCATATTGTGGCATCCTTAAAGAGGGGCAAGGTCGAGATGTCCAGTATGATCCCGCAACCAAAGGGGAAGACAACAAGCTCGATTAAGATGAACACTGCAACCTGTCGACTGATGTCAGACTCTGAGTCGACGCCATCAAGGGTCGGCGTACCTTCACAACTATCAATTGTTGTGTAATGGCGCTTCTTACGAACGTTGAAGCTCCGGAGTATAGAATCCCGCTTGCAAGGAAACTACCTCCGAAACCAAGCAAGGCGACGTAACCTAGGAATACAGAAAAGAGCTGTTCACTTGGTCCAGCCCCAGTTGCCAAAGCCTTCCATCGAGAGGCCATGACCCGGCCATAAGCGCTGTAAATCTCCCTGGCCCGTGCCCGTCCAGCTAAAAGGGCGGTCTTTGACTGAACCGGGATGTACGATTCAAAGTGATCCGATAGTCGCATGAGCAGCTGGTCAATGTGGGAGGTCGAGTGTGCGAGAGGAAAAATTTTCGAACCAGCGGACGCCAAGATTTGCTTGAGTCGGTTAGAAACATGGTCGTAGATGGAATCCAGGCGGACTGCTGAATCCGGGGCATGAGAAGCCCGAAGCTTCCAGACCTCCGATAATACCCCGAACAGATGCGTGGATGCTGGGCGAAGGAACCATAGGAACACGTCCACAATAGGATCCGTGGCAAGGCGCACGATACGAATTGGTAAATGAAGAACAAATAGCAATCTACGTGGTTTCATCTAAGGAAGTTGAGTTAGGAGGAAAGTATCCGAAGAACTCCATGCTGCTTACTAGGTTGAGAGCTAGTGATCGTCCGATGGTGAAGGGAATCCAGACAGCTCCACCGATTGTCATATCCAAAATGAGGATAATCAACGCGACCTAAAAATGCACCCGGGGTAAGCAGACGCTCGTACCAGAAGACTTGAATATTCACGTTCTGGACGATTGCCAACAAAGGTCCGCGCATGCCGACAGCTAGTACACGCGAATCAAGTTAATTGCTCGTCACGCAGACGAATAACTATGCACCTTCAAGGAGGCCATCCATATCATCTTCCCCTCCTTCCACCATTTCCGCTTCATCATTGTTCGGAGCATTGGGTGCGTTAGCATCCCAATTCTGTCTTGCCGCCTCATTATCAATTTGTTGTCTTAATCGTCGCTCTTCATTTGCAATTGCTCCTTGTCGCCTTTCTCGAATTTCATGGTGTCCAGGGACGGGTAGTTGCTCTTGTACATCAATGTCATCCTCCTGCGCTAGGGGGCCCCTCTCCATCCCCCAGTCATCATCTTGATCGTCAATGTCTGTCTCCTCGCCACCCTCCGGAGCATCCTGTGTGGAAGTTGGAAAATAACTGGTCGCGAGATCGAGATCTTCTGGTGCGCGATACGTAGCTTTCCCAAAATCAATCCCGCTCGGTGTCGTCGCGTCACGTAATTTTGACGATGCAGGGTGAGGTGACGCATGCCCAAGTTGGGTATGAGCCCCATGGGCAGTGGGGAGCGGGGATGGCCGGGCATGCGATGGCCGCGGCGAAGGTGGCGGAAGCTCCTCGTTGGGGGTCGTAGGAGGAAGATGCGGGCGCCGTGGGATGGAAGCGACGTGATGTGTCGATGGCCCAGGCACGAGAGAATCAACGTGGATCGATGATGGTAATGAGTCTGGTATAGGGTGGTATGAGGATGACGCCGAGGGGGATCCGGTCTGGCCCCAAGAATCCCAAGAGGACGTAGATACGCGAGCTTCGCGGGCGAAAATATCTGACTCGTCGTCCTGATGCAACGCGCTAGGGTTCAGAGGCGGAGGAGAAAACATGCTCTGTTTTTGATCACCCTCATCTTGAGGTTTCTCAGCCAGCTTCTGTACCCATCGAGGGGTTTTGACCTCCCAGGTGGAACCTGTGCGTGTGAAAGTGATGATGTTCAGCAAGGCCATCCACGACACAACGAAACCACATGAGACACCTACGCTGGTCATCGTGACTTGAAGATGGACTGGGCGGAAGAGGAATCATAGCTGGATCTGAAGGGAAGATGGGAGGTATGGAAGAGGCCTCATACGGGAGGTCCAGTGATCGCGCTTCTGGAGAAGGAGGCAAGGGAATTGAACATGCTAGAACAAACGCACTATACGTGGCGGGGAGCTCTTTTCCAGATGAAGTCGTGGTAGATTCATCCACGTCTGAAGAGGAAGCCGTCGACGCAAAGGAGTATCGGGATGAGGTAGCGAAATCTGAATTCATTTCGATCGTTGTATTCTCTGGCCGAGCAAAGTATCTTTCCCATTCAGTTCTCATCCGGATACGTTCCAGTTCGGGATTGGAACCTGGTGCGTAATGATCCTGCTCAGGTTCCGACGGATGATCATCCAACAAATTGACATCGACGTCATCGGTTATTCCGGTGGTCCCGCGGAGCCTTTTCAGCTGCACCCGCCGGCGGCGAGGGACACCTTGTTCAGCGAATTGGGGATGTGGAGCCATAAGCTGTACCTTGGCTCTCCGCCCAGCGTGATGGTGGGCTACGCGCCCCAGGTCATCACGGACTGGTACTGGTGCGCCGTCGGCCTGTTCTACCCTTCTTTGTCCAAGGTGTCGTCCGCGCTCGAGTCGTCGATTCAGAAACCTGAATGCGAGCTCTTCGCCTTGGCCTTGGCCCTGAGCTGCGGGGAACGCGACGACATTCTCTGGCTGGAGCTCTCCTTGGTTTACGTCGGGCTGGTCCGGTTGGTGGGGATCCTGGCCTGCAGCTGCAGGGCGAGCCTCCTCCGCTCCGTCAGGTACCACAGGCTCCCCAAAAATTCCAGGACGAGCATTCTGCACAATCCATTCACGCAAGAGAAACACGGCAAGGAATAAAACGATGATGAGGGCCGCAATGATTTGGCCGGTGAGAATATCGCCCCATACATCGTGGAACACTTCGCTCTTTGGCAGCTTCGATAGGAGGGTAGTGAGGAATAATCTGTTGGCTGAAGATGGTGACGATTCAGAAGCAGTTAAGTTGGCAGGGACATTCAGAGGTGATGGGGGAGACAAAGAAGGTCGTTCCTCGCCATAAGTCTTCCAAGCACTTCGAGAGCCATTAGTCCACGCAATAGAAAAGAGACGGATATGACACACATATGTTCACCAGCCCAGAAATAAAGTCTCCACACCCAAACTGTGGTATAAGGCAGGAAGGCCAGCCATATTGTAGCAATAACGACAGTCCTCAAAGCAAATAACTTCCAATGGAGCACTTGAACGGCCAAGCGACGTATGAAAAGAAGTGCAGGCAGCCTCTCGGGCATATCTGGGTCATATACTTTATGACATGAAATTGGCATCTCAGTGTAGATGGCATCGTCATATTTCGCGCACCTTTCTGGAAGGCATACTCAGTCTTGCACACATCACAGCTGCCTTTCTTGCTGTGTTGTAGCCAGGTGGTTAGACTGAAGCACGTAATTGGCTAACGTGAGCTGCGGGATCCCAACGACAAAGGAAAGGCTACGCACCAATCCTGGTGGATGTATCGAATAGTCCCTGAACATCTGCATGGATGAAATAAGGGCTCCCCAGGCTCTGCGGGCCCACTGCAAATGCGGCAAGTATCTAGAGTGAACTCGCGCTGAGGATTCAAATCTTGCGAATCGAGCGCAAGTCTTACCAATCTGTTCTTCCGGACTAGTCGCCATGGAGAGTGACGGGTCCCTAGTATCTAAGCACCAATATTAAGCAGTCCGGGGGTTGGTATTCAGGCACACGACGATGGGGTTTACCACCGCACGGAAGCAAGGTAGTAGAACGGACGTGAAAGTATAGGATAGCGCCGCCTAGCAGGGCGTATATGCCGCAACTGGGGCAATCCTGGGATTGTGTATGAAGGTAATGATACGGGGCAAATGTAGAGCACTAGTTGGCCCAGAGTTGCAGGAAAGGTGACACGTGAGTTTGGCCGCCCGATTCATTCAAATTACATAATTGATTTCGTGTACTTGATTACAAACTGCAGCCTTCGAAACCTTCTGCGGATCCTTGCGGGCCTGTTTGGAACTTGACCTGAACTGTGGCCTCTTCTTATATAGGTGGTTCTGGGCGAGGAGCCATCTTCGCGCACATATCTTATCGAGTCCGGGAGACTAACCACTCGCAGGCCTCTCGAATCAGGTAATACCTCGGAATTGTTGGTCGTCTACCTTCTGGCTTGGCGTGTGTTTTTTGGTTAATACTTGCTATGATCTCCGATTGTGGATAACTCGAACAAACCTTGTTCAGTCCGGCCTAGCTCGACCAAAGCCAATGCGGCGTCCGAATCTGGGTTGATAGAAGTCAACCCCTTGTGTAGCATCGTGAAGACGGCGGCCACTCCAATATTGCAGAAAGGATATTTCAGTGTTCAATCATCACACAAGTACTGTGAGTGGCGTGACTGAGGAATTTATCTAACAGTTCGTATGGAGCGAGGTGAATTCTGAGGCATTTGAATTCTGTCTCGAGGACGCGACGTTCGCGCATTTGACTTGCGCATCACTGTGACTCTGTGTGTGTAGTTCATAGTCCCGACCTTCATTCGTGGTTAATAATAATAATGGAAGTAGCCTCGCCGGGGCCCTTGTTGCAAAATTAGTCCGTGTCCATCCTGATTTTTCGCCGAATCCGAGGATCATGCGTGCTGCGACACCAAGTATGTATCCGCAAGTATGTTATGAGGCCTCAACGGATCGGATCCCGAATTGGCATATGTCCCTGTCCGGTTGACGCAATAGGGGCGGTGGACTCTCCTGTTGGGAAAATATGGTACTTCCGGAAAATCACTCTAAACATTTTGAGGATCTCTTCAAATTACATAATTCCAGAATCCATCAAGTACTGGGGAATTCTTCCATGAGGATCAATGATAATAAGGGTAAAGTTCTGAGGACTTCCCGATGTTCCAAACATTTTTGGGTCGAAATGCTCGCTGGGAGTCCTGTTGAGGAGATCTTGGTCAGGAGGATCAGCCTTGCATGCTAATATTATATAAATCGGCCAGCCCGCTAGCTTGCACACTTAAAGTAATACTTAAACACAAGTAGCTTTGTTGAGCAAACGGCCTGAGCACCTACATAAAGCACGAGACGGAGCCACAAAACAGGGAAACCGGCCCCCGTGACTACTGCTCATTCTCAGTCACACCACGAGTGACAATTTAGGCTGAATAATTCTGAAATATGATTGAGTCTGACGCATTGAGTTTTTTTCCATTCACTTTGCAACATCCTCTTCTGTCAAGAACGCTGTCAAGAATCGCACCGTATCTTTATACTCAGCGTGTTGGGGTGCACCTTAGGCTCTTAGGCCACTTGTTCTTTATCCCGTTGCCCTCGAAATGTCTACTGTGAAAGACGCAGTCTCGAAACTGACAAACCGTCGCGTCAAAGCGATCGCGCCCTTGATTCCACCCCAGATCCTCATGGAGGACTACCCCCTAACTCTCCGAGCAGCGGATACGGTACTCGAAGGGAGGAGCCAGGTAGAAGCGATTCTTAGAGGGGATGATGATCGATTACTTGTTGTGGTCGGGTCAGTCGTCCAGCATGGAGGAAAACATTCAATAACCGCTTTGCCTAGGCCGTGCTCTGTACATGATGTCGAGGCTGGTGTTGAGTACGCCAAGTCCCTGAGAGCCTACGCGGAGACTGCAAAGGATGAGCTCCTCATCCTCATGCGAGTCTACTTTGAAAAGTGCGTTGTGGGCTCAATTCTTGAGCATCGTTGATATCGAGTCTGCTCAAATTAGGCCCAGAACAACTGTTGGGTGGAAAGGTCTTATTAATGGTGAGTGGAGGTGCATCATCTTAACTCTCCCAATTCATTCATTCCCCAACGTAGACCCTCTAATGAATGGGTCCTTCAAAATCAACCTCGGGTTGCGAACCGCCCGAAATTTCCTTTTAAACATCACGTCTTTGGGACTCCCAACAGCTTGCGAGTTCCTCGACACCATCACTCCCCAATATATTTCCGATCTTGTCTCCTGGGGCGCTATTGGGGCCCGCACCACCGAATCACAAGTCCACCGCGAACTAGCCTCGGCACTCAGCATGCCTATCGGATTTAAAAATGCAACAGATGGTGGCGTGGAAATAGCCGTTGATGCATGCCGCGCCGCAAGGAGCGGTCATGTCTTCCTTTCCGTTGGAAAGGAGGGCTTGAGCTCCATTGTTGAAACCGAAGGTAACCCAGACACGCACATAATCTTACGCGGTGGAAAAAGTGGGCCAAATTATGAGGCCCAGCATGTAAAAGCCTGTGTGGCGAAACTGAGCAAGGCGGGATTAACTGAGAGGGTTATGGTGCGCAAAATCATTTTCGTGTCGTGTCTAAAGTACTGTCCTTATATTCAAAATTCCCCTTGTAGATCGACTGTTCCCATGGGAATTCCCAGAAGATTCATCACAATCAACCTAAAGTCGCTGACAACATTGCCATCCAGCTCGAAGATCCCGACTCTGAAACCGCCCATTCGATCATGGGCGTGATGATCGAGAGCAATTTGGTGGAGGGTAAGATATCCCTGCCCCCTACATTGAGGAGGATCGGGGCTTAAAAATCATTTTAGGGAGACAGGATATCCCGGCTTCCGGTCCATCGGGTTTGAAATATGGACAATCCGTCACCGATGGTACGTTCCCTTCTTCATTAGCAAACCGATCACTTAAAAAAAACCACACACATGCCTTCTAGCTTGTATCTCCTGGATATCGACGGTGCCAGTTCTTGACCGTCTCCGACAAGGCGTGAGGGCCCGTCGTAGGAATAAAAGGTTGGTCTATGAAAGGAGCGTGGAAGTAGTTGCCAAAAGTGGGACCACTACTCCAATCTTCCCATCGCCCGATGGGCAGACGAGTGTCCCGCTCCCTAGCGGTGCTAATGGTTTCGCAAACGGAGTCCATTGATCCTCTCCTCGACGATATGTTACTTGTCCAAATGCCATGCTGACCCTGTATGTACGTGTATATGCAATATCTACATGAATATCATTAGTCTTGAGTCCCTCTGGAATTGGTCTCTGCTCGTGCTCGGTGCAAACATAGTCGTATTCGCATTCGTGGTGTCCGCAGGGACTGCCCATTGACAAATGCCGACCCGAAGACTCACCCACAGAAGCTCTTCAAGCACTCACGTTAACAATTATGTCCGAGACTAAGTGGAATTAGCGACCTGGTCACCAGGAATACCCGGGTCCAGGATAAAGAAGGGAGGGATTTCAACATGGTTGAGGAGGCAATAGACCGACTCCCCCAGCGCGCTGACATGATGCAACCAAAGCAACCGAAGCCTTCCAGGCCAGAGCCTCACGAGCCACCACAAACTTACGGACGGATGGAGGAAAGCCAACCCAGCCCTGGCCCAGAACTTTACCTCTGGACACACATTAGGAACACACGTACATGTCAAGAATGAATAGAATATATGTATCGGACGACATGTCCAAGAATATATAATAGACCCCGAAGTCCCCACTGCTGACCATCAACGTTACGAACTAGTCCTGGCGGACCTGTATAACTCGAACAGCCCAGTAATCGGACGTGGCCGCTGGGCAATGCACAAGTACCTACTAATTGACAAATCCTTCTTAATGGAAGCAGAGAAGCTGGGAAACGAAACCCTATCCTACCTAGAACACCACCACGACATCGACACCCAACACATCTTCCTCACATTCAACCAGTCCCCAACAAACTGAGCGAAAAAAAAAAAAACCTGCACCTCAAGACCCTCACTCGAAGGGGAAATTTACATTTTGGAAACTACGCTGTCGCAGAGTCATAAAGAGCACCAAGGGAAATGAAATCAAAATATCGAAACCGGAAGCCTACAACACTATAAAATCAACCCTGAATGCACTAGAGACATGGAAGAACCTACTGAACGAAAACGCAGGCCTTCCTGAAAACGGTTAAAAACCAACGAAGTCTTAGTGGGTATGTATTCTCGATCCCTACACTCAAGGGGTGACCCCAAATAGTGCGTAAAGGCATTCCCCGGGGGAGTCCTCTTTGTAAATACAGGGAAGAGGCAGTTATAAATATGAAAAAAAGTATGCGTGGAAATCCGAATGATCTGACGGGTTTAGGATGACAACAGATTCACAAGGAACAAGTAAGAAAAAAAGCAATATCAAAGAAATATTAACTTTGTTAAGGAAATAAAGAACCATGGCGATCACCTCAACCGCTGAACCAAATGTGTCACTCGTAACGTGTTCGACTCTTGTTGACAAGGGATTTCCAACGATACCAAATTTGTCCGGATCGGTGGAGAATTGATGGAGATATGGAGGAAGCGGCGGGTGAGAGTTGCCCAATTTGGAAACTGATGGTTGTCCATGGTCAGGAATGGCTTGAGAAAATCGGAAAAAAATATGGGAAACGTGGAAGGGGTATGTGGAACAGTGGTAGATGTGTTTCAGGAGTGGGGTACTTGACATGGGTGGTAGAATCGCAATAATCGGCTTGTTTGTGTGGTACCGGCTGTGCCTGCCTACCATGTTGTCAATGATGAAGTGACTTTGTCATTGCTGTGATTGCAAAGGAAAATGGCTTGAACACTGTTGAGAACAAGTCATGGAATATCGTCATTGACAGTGGCGATGTTGAAAGTTGAGATCATCAGTGGCAGTATTGTCATTGATGAAGATGGGTACATGTCAGGATGCATCCAGTAGAGGGGGTCCGGGTGTAGTGCCTGGCAGAGGGATCCTCCTGGGGTGCAAAGCAGGCATGCATACTGGTGGGCCCTAAGTGGGACAGCAGTCCCTGGCCACTTAGACTGAAGTGGAAAAGTGTCAGGGCACACCCGCCTGACCTGGCTCCACCCAGGCCCACCCAGGCCCACCCAGGCCCACCCAGGCCCACCCAGGCCCACCTCACCCACTCCCTGCTACCCATCCTTCCTCCCTCCTCCTCCCTCCCTCCTCCTTCCTCCCTCCTCCTTCCTCCCTCCTCCTTCCTCCCTCCTCCTTCCTCCCTCTTCCCCTCCTTCTCTTTCCTCCCTTTTCCTTCTTTCCTCTTGCTCCTTTATTTCATTCTCCCTTTCTGTGTATCCTTTCTATTTACACAGACCACCTTCCCTTGTATCATTGTACTATTGACCCGACTGGCTCAGACACCCCAGACGACTTCCCGCTATGCCTAGCATGTGCGCCTGCAGCGGATGCCCTCGGGATCCCCCGCAGGGACACCCAGATGGCTGCAGCTCTCTCCATGGATGATGTGGCACCCATCATGTGACCCAAGCTGCATGTACATAAATGTACCTGAAGTGGGAACTGAAGAAGTAACCTTCTTCTCACATTTTCCACTTCAGGTAAGTAGTGTAGTTCTTCCTTTTAATAACAATTCACGTTTTCCACTTCAGTCTAAGTGGCCAGTGACTACAGTCCCAGATTGGGCCCATCAGCACACACACCCACTTCGCCCCCTGAGAGGGTCCCTCTGCCAGGCGCTACATCCGGGCCCCCTCCACCCTGGACATGTCCCTGACAGCAGAAGAAGGTTTCAACCTCGTCTCCCCCGCCTCCCCCATCTCCCCTGCCTCCCCAGCCATGGTGTCAGAAGAGCAGTATGAGGAGCTGCTAGCTCGCTTCCAAGAGCTCCAAGCCATTGTGGAGAGCCAAGCCTGCAACCATCCCCCACCCCCACCTGCTCCAGCACCCACTCCTGCGCCAGCCCCTGCACCTGCACCTGCGCCCAGACCCAAACCACCCAAGGTCGCCCCCCCACTCCCTTCTCAGGAGCCAGTGAAGACCTCGACCGCTTCAAGGCTGAGTGCAGGATTTACTTCTACGTTCACGCGGCTGAATTCCCCACTGCCCTCTCCCAAATTCTTTTCGTGTTGTCCTACATGAAAGGAGGACCTGCAGGGGCATGGGCAATGCAATGCATGATCATGTTGCTAATAGGAGGGCTAAAGCGGGAGCTCAGTCTCCGTTAATGAAGAACTGAATTACTACGGTTAATACTAACCTAAAGCGGGAGCTATAGTACAGAAGAGTACAGAGTAAGTAATGTAACAACTAACTAAAAACAATGATACTAACCTCAGTCTCCGTTAATGAAGAACTGAGGAGAAAAGGAAAGTAGACCCAAACAATTACCTATATACAATGCAGTCACGGTATCAATACAACGGAAACGAAAAATAAGATCATGTGAGTTTGGTTAGTGAGTCACTGGTTAGTGAGTCACGCGTCGTTGTAACTCCAACAGTTGCTGACAGCCGGATCCCCCTCCCTCACCATGGACGAGTTCAACACTGAACTTGATGCCATGTTCCAGGACCTGAACTGGGACCCACCTCGAGGCTGGGTGATGTGGGACTGGTTGACTGTTTCGAGCAGGCCATCAACTCCCACCTCTGGGAGAGCATATACTGGCTCCGCCCCATGCCCACCACTTGGGCAGAGTGGAAACGTGAGGCCACCCTCCTAGACAACCAGTGGCGACGCTTCCAAGCCACCCAACCACGTGGGTTTCCACCCAAACCCCTGCTCCCATCAACCCGACCCCTGTCAACTGTGACTCCACCTCACACACGACCCACACGCATGCCCCCTCAACCTGCACCTGCACCTGCACCTCCTACCCCAGCAGCCTGCCCCACAATGGGAGTGGGCCCACAGCCAATGGATCTCGACCACTCAAGAGCTGACCAGAGGCGGTGTTACAACTGTAACACCCTGGGGCACATCCTATGAGACTGCCCACACCCCAGGGTCTGCCGGGTGCTGTTGTGGGGACAACTCTGTGTACCGCAAAAAGTCGGATTCTGCGGAATTTGGTCACCAACACGCAGTACATATTTGCTGACACTCCCGATACTCATTCTATCACTATCCAACACTCCATACACTCACTCCATATTTTTCCATATTTTCCCCATCATTCCCGACAACCCAAGCAAAATTCCCACGCCCAACCATGCCGCCAATTTCACCCCTCTCCAGACCTCCACACCCACACTCACAACCCAGCCGTCTTTCCACCCGATAGTGATGCTCTACCACCCTTCTTCACCCCCGGAGCATTTCCCAGAATGGCAATCCCATACCCGGATGGTTCAGCACGGAGTATACTCTCACATGGTCTTGACAGCACCTGTCAATGGCCACATCTCAAGAAGTACTGCACCAAATGGGACGAATAGGGGCTCGTTGGAAAGCTGGAGACGAGGAGGTTGCTGACGGGAGGGTAGGCGGGCGCTGTGGCGAACTGTTGCGGAGTTAATTTTCACAATTCCCATTTCGGACCCGTTGTCACATTTTCCCCATTCATTCATATTTCTTTTATTGTTTCTTTGTTCCCAATTGGATATTCATCATTTACGGTTGCCTAACGGCCCGTTTGCACCCCCCCATTCCATTCATTCCATTTCCAACTCATATAAAATAGATCATAACAAGTTAGTATTGAATAGACCCGTGAAGGGATAAGCAGAAGTTGCATCCAAGTGGCAAAGACGCCATCCACGACCCTAACGCCCCCTCTGAGCTAGTTGCTCACGTCTAAGACCCCTCACATCATAATACTCAGCCTTGACGTCCAAGAGAGACGTAGGTGAGTGTTTGTTTGAGGTTTTTGCAGACTCGGTAGCGCCCACGGACCAAAACCCAGCCCAGCGAACCACACCCACGCACACTACCACCCTCCCCCTTCTCTCTGTCTCGAGTCTAGGCGATAGACCTGTTACAGCACGATGCCTCCACCCTGAAGACCTTTGGGCGCTGATGGAAGGGCTGAAAAGGCAGTTGACTGAAGGACCAGAGGCAGAGGAAGCAGAGCTGGAAACAGAGACTCAGGGGATTTTCAGGAAGGTGACCGGTGAGGGATGCATCCCGGCCACCTGTAGAGGATAGCTCATGCAAATACTGCAGCATGTGTAAGTCAGCTCTAATGCCAAAACTTCACCAAGTTATCGCAAAGAAAAAGAGGAAAACCGCATCCTCAACCCATGAGAGTAGAAGAACCACAGAGGGAATGCCCGAAGTGGCAG